CATGTTTGGGCCTTAGACATATACATAGGCATCTCCAGAGAAGATATTTAAAGTCATAGGCATGGATGTAATTATCCTCAGGAGAAAGCACAAGAAATTCTATCAATCCAAAGCACTGGAAAAAATGACAGTATGTAGAGATCAGAAGAGTAAGAGCTATTGAAGAACAAGGAAAAGCAGTTAGCCAGGAAGGTACAAGGAAAACTAGAAAAGTACACTGCTATGGAAGTGAAAGAAAGCACATTTCCATCGGGGGAAAAAAAAAAGTCAACAGTGACATGAATACTGAAATATGGATACTAATGATACCCGGTCAGCCATAAAAGCTCATTTAACCCATAACATAGTCAGATTGCATTATTAGACTATCTTACTACGAAGTAGTGCAGTATAGTAATTAAATGTGCAGGCTCCAGATCCACAATGTCCAGGTTTAAATCCCAGCTCCCCTACTTACTAGCTAAATGACTGTAAGTATATTACATTTAGTTATACTTTGACTTAGTATATACTTAATGTCTCTATGCCTTAGTTTCCTCATTCATAAAAAGGAAAGTAAAAATAATACCTACCTCGGGGTGTCTGGGTGGCTCAGCCAGTTAAGCGTCTGCCTTCAGCTCAGGTCATGATCCCAGGGTCCTGGGATCGAGCCCTGCCAGGCTCCCTACTCCCCGGAGAGCCTGCTTCTCCCTCTCCCTCTGCCTGCCACTCTGCCTATCTGTACTCTCTCTCTGTCAAATAAATAAAATCTTTTAAAAAAGAAATCCCTACCTCATAGAATTAATATTAAGTGTGTGTGTATGCATATGCTCATCACAGCGCCTAGCAAAAATTAGTTCAGTAAATGATAGCTGTTATTACTCACAACATTGTTTCTATGGGGAAATACTTTCTGAACAAAAGAAGTTTATTTGAAATAACCTTTCACTAATTTGGGACTGTCCCTACTCCCCATAAACTGTGATCTTACAAGGTCTTTTTCCAAAAGCCTTGAGGGAGACTCTAGATTTAAAACTTATGAAAGAGTCCTTAATATAGAAGCTGACCAGTTTTTTTTGTTTTTGTTTTTAAGAGAGAGAACGCACCCAGGGCAGGGGGATAGGCAAAGGGAGAGAATCTTAAGCAGCCTCCACACCCAGTTGGAGCCTGGCTCAGGGCTCCATCTCATGATCCTGAGATCACGACCTGAGCTGAAATCAAGAGTTGGACGCTTAACTGACTGAGCCAGCCAGTCGCCCCAGTAGCTGACCAGTTTTAGAGAAGGTAATAATTTTTTTTTGGAGGGGTACCTATCCCACTCATTACACATTCATACTATGATCAGAAAAAATTTATGTATTAGGAAATTTGAAAAACTGGTAGCAAAAAAATTGACAATTTCAAGTGACAAAGTTACAAAAACAGATATAAATCTACTTTAAACAAAGTATTTTTATTTAGTCACTTTCTGGTGCATATTCGAATACAAACACATCTATCATCACTATGATGAAAGAGCCTCTCGATGTTCAGTGCACGATATAAATAACAGGTAGAGGAAAGGAAACAGATGTGCAGCTTCCTGATAATCACCTTATTTCCAAAAGTATACAAAGGTATTAATGGTATCTCAGACAGCCCCACCAAAAGTATTTCCAACTGCATTGTGATAGGCAATGATATGCTCATTCAGTCCCTAAAACTAACTGAGAAGAACACAAATAAATGGAGATTTACGAGACCAATTTTTATCCCTGAATTTCCCACTGACCTAGCAAGTACTATTTCAGAAATATTCAGAAAACTCTATAAACCCTAAGGTAAAATGTTGAGAGTTTCCCCTTAGCTCTTTGCTTTTTAATTGTTAAAACAACAGAAATACCTAATACCTGATGGAGCTGTTATACCAAAAAAGTACTATTTCAAAGTAATGAGAAATTGTTTATCATGTTCTTTCCCCATCAACTGATGAAAACGCTCCATTTCAGGATCAAGCAAAGACACAAAGTAGGGACATGTCAGTAACCACTGAATGTCATTACCATCTGTTAGCTTCTGAATAGGTTACTGGAAACAAGGTGACAGACAGGCTAATTCTTTATGGATAAGTATCCATATCACATCATCACAACTAGTACTCATTTGCACCTTTAAGAAGAAACTGCCACAAAGGGGAACAAAAACATTCAACTTATATATGAATTATGAAAAAGCTTTCTAAAATGTTATAAAAATATGAATAGGCTTCTGAAAATGCAGAATACTTAAAGATTTACAGGCCATATTTCAGATTCAGTATTTTCTATACAACTGAAATGAAAGAGGACATTACACAATTTGAAGAATAAAATGAGGTACAATTAAGAAGTGTGTGTAGCCCTGTACAGATGGCCTGATCCTAACACAAGATGTTAACAAAGCAAGTTGGTGGGGGAGGGGGAAAGCCTGCATTTTCTATGCTAAAATTTAGTTGACTCCACCCCCAAAATACATATTTTTAAAGGGGGGGTGCTTAGCATTTAAGAATCAATAACTTCCAAAAAAACAGAAAATAAACCTCTTTTAGATTATGTGTTCCAAATGAATCTACTTACTGTTTTCAAATGTGTTTGGGAAGTCATTCTTTGTTACTTTGATTAATAACATTTGGAAAATATGACAAGTAGATTTTAGTTTCTTGCCTCAGAAGTATTCTGCTAAAAGAAATAACAGAAACAACTGGGTAGAATTTGTTCCATTTACCTAATAAAATACTTTTCATTTAAAACATTAAAAATGCTGCACAAATACCTATCGTTATTGTTCACTGAAAAGAAAGCAATGTAATTTGTAGATTATTGCACTTGATGCAAAAGCTACTTGAAAAACGATAGTCGAATTAGCACCAAAAAAATATTAATGGGAGAAGTGCCAAACATCTTTCAGAAAACTCCTTAAAATGTCTTAATAGTATATAATACAAAGTTATGACTATTTCTGAAAAGTTTCAGCAATTAATTAGCTCCAAATTGGCACATCCCATTATTATTCTTTTTTAAATCCCAGCTCTTTTAAACAAAGGACCTAAAATTTTCTGAGAAAGCTTATTTCCCTTTTCTTGAATCCAATTTTTCTCATTCTCTCTCAATCATCCCAAGGTATTATTTAAGACAAAGACCAACTACTCTTCACACATTATTTTCCCAATCATGAAGGTGGAACTTCCATAAAAACAAAGAAGATAACCTACAACACTGTAACATATAAAGTAAAAAAAAAAAAGTTCACTTCTGTCGTGACAATAGTGAAGAAATCTGATGAGATCACAAAGCCACGAAGCTTCCTGTTGGTAGCTGAGGATGAAGTCATTAGCAACCCAGGATTCCCTGGTCCTTGTAATCAGAAGCTGCACCTACCAGATTCTGCATTGTTCGGCAGAGGTAGCTTTAAAACACCCCGCTCCCGAATCGTCCAAAGCAGACCACGCCTTCCAGTTATCATTCAAATGGACCATTTCACAGTGTGGCACTACTACACATTTCCCGCGAGCTTAAATATCTAGTAAAAGTCAACATTTTAGATTCCCTTGGACATGATGAAGCAAAGATGAACTCTTGAACCCCGCGCTACATAATGAACCGGGGTTTCAGAAGCCGAGATGGAGAAGCATGCTTCTGTTCAACCTTTATGGCCTTCACTGACCACCCCCCACAATTTCTTCCCAACTCTTAGTCACCCCAAGGCATAGAAGGCAAAAAAGATTCCTTACTTCCTGCTGTTGTTAAAAGGGGAGGAAACCCAAGAGTAACTTTGAACGCGTGGAAGAGAAATAGCTTAATCTTGGCCACCACTGCAAACATATGTCACCCAGCCCCGTCGCAGCTTTCGCGCCCCTCCAGGCCCCCTCCCGGGCCCCACGCCCCAGGGGTTCTCCCGCAGCCCAGCCCTCCCCGGTCCCCCAATGCCAGGGACGCTGCTCAGCGCCTCTTCCTCTCGCGCCTCCCCCACCCTCACATTGCCGGGGTCCCCAAGACCACATTGTCCGTTCCAATACAATGGAATGTCACTGCCCGGAACCCTCCGGGGGCCCCCCACCCCCCCACCCCCCCGGAGCCAGTCCCGGGTCTCCCTGATCGCCCAGTTCAGGCACGAACCCAAAACTTCACCATGTGAGAGAGCCCAAAACCCGCGAGGTGACGGAGACCCACGACTCCCGCCCAGCCCTCCCTTTTACCTACAGTCCCCTACCAGCCCTAAGCGCTAATCCTGCACTGGGCGCCCCCACCCACCCCAAGACCACCTCACAGGAGTCATCACCCGCCTCTCCCCGCGCGGGCAAGGGCGAGGAGAAGAGTGGAGGGCTCCCCGCCCGGCCAGGACCCCTGGGCGGCGCTGCACAGGGGCGAAGGCCCCAAACGCATCCCCGGCCTTTCCTGGCCCACGACGACCCCGGCGCCCACCCTCCCTACCTGGCCTTGAGGCTGGGGCTGCTGCCGCTGCTGCAGCTGCTGCTGGCGGCGGCGGCCGCCGCGGCTCGGGGTTCGTAGGCCCAGGCGGGGGCGGGGGGTGGTGCAGCGGCACTGGCGGTGGCGGGGGCGGCGGGGGGCGCGGGCGGCGGCGGCGGGTCCGCGAAGCCGGAGGTCGCGTAGTTCCTGTCCATCGTGGGGGTTGCGCAGGGAGGGAGGGCAGCAGTGGGGGCTCCTCTAGGGCCCTGTGTATGGGGGGCGGGAGGGGAGGGAGGGGGCGGGGGGAGGAAGAAGAAGAGGAGGTGGCGGCGGAGGGAGCTGCCCCCTCACATGGCCCCGGCGGGCGGACGGGCGGAGGGCGCGCTGGCCGTTCTCTGCCGGGGGAACCCAGGCCGCGGCGCGCGGCGAGGCCCCAGCCGGGCGTCAGGGAAGCGGCGGCATCTGCGGCCGGGACTCACCGCGGCGGCGGCGGCCGCTTCGCCCCATGTTGGTGGATTTCCCAGGATGCACCTCCCGCCCCCCTCCGCCCGCGGCCTCGCCCCGCCTCCCCTCGGCGCCCCGCGTTCGCGGCTCCCGGGCCAGGCGGGCGGCCCGCGAGGCCTCTGCCGCTACCGGCCGCCTCTCTCAGGCCAGCAGGGCCGAGAAGGTTCGAGGCCTGCCGGCCCAGCCGGCTCCGGGCATCCGGAGAGGTGCCCGCCAGCGGTAGCCACCGGGCCGCGGACTTCCCGCCCTCGGCTGCTCCAAGGGGAGCTGTCCACGCTCGCCGCGCCCCGCGTGGGAAGGGGCCGCGCCCGCAGTTCGCCCCGCGCGAGGGAGGGGAAATTGAGAGGAAACCCAGCGTAGGTGCTGCAAAGGGGGAGGCTTGTCAACGCTTTGCCTGGAGTTCGTTATTTGACCCTTCGAGTTATTTTGAGTGTCTCAGATACTCAGTTCCCACATCGCGATTTCTTTCTCCGAGCCCAGTCCCAAACCAGAAACAGCTGAGCGGGCTGTTTTACAGTTCCGTTTACTCCCTTCCTGCACAAAGCTTGCTGGGCTAGAGGACCCTTTTCCTGCTGTTAGGGGAGATTTATATTCAAAGAGATTCAAATTCAAACGTGTTATTTTCCAATCCTCGTTGAAAGGACCTTTCCCAGGGGCTCTTATTAACTGTCCCCACCCCCACCTTGGGGATTTTCTCATTCTGGATTTCAGAATCTTCTATCCCAAGGTAAATACTGCCTCTTCATTGATTAATCCAACTACCATCTGGATGACTTTAATGACAATACATTTAAACTTACTATGCACACTTTGTGTTGGAGTTTTTTGTTTGGGACTTCAGGACTTTACCCAAACATTTCCCATGTGACCTCCACGCAGTTTGGCGGGGGTTAATTTAATGATTATTTTGAGGATCTTCTGTTGCATATCAGAGCTCTGTTTCTTCTATAATCATGAGTAGTGAAACTTAGAGTTCATGGAAATCATCGTTTGGCTCTTAAGGCATAAAGTAAAAGTTAAAACAGTGAAGTTTATATTTGACCAGCCCCCTTAAAAAAAATCAATACTGGTTTAACACCTATTATGTGCTTAGCACAGAAATCTGCCCCTCAAGATAAGCTTAAAGGTTTAAACAAGCCAGACAGGCATAGTAGAAGACCTGATAAAGTTGATACACTATCACTGATCACCATTTAAAAGCCAGTTTAAATTTCCGTAATACCTGATACTGAATCTGCTATTCCGTGTGAGATTATTTTTGTTCTGGGAGATTCTTTTTCCCTCCTGGCGCCAACGTCCTTTTGTTCCTATTCCTTCCTTTTTGTAAGTCTTTCGGCACCTGTGATGCTTAAGAGTCTGGTCCCGGGGTGGGGAAGCAAGGAAGTAAGTAGTCGTTATTTACAAATGAATTCAAACGTGTAGACACAAGTGATCTTGCCAATTTTATGCTAATTTCAGCATGCATTTACCCAGGATATCTTTGAAAAGTAGTTTTCCGTGGGGAAGGAATTTGCCAGATAATTTGAGATCCTGCAGAGAAGTAACATAAATCTTCCTTACAATCTTTATTTTTCTTACTGCAGACTGGAGATCTGTAATCTAAATAAAAGAAAGAAGTTCTCACTACCAACTATTACACTTGTAAGTATTTTTGTGAGCACTAAAGTTTTGTCTTTACGGAAAGTGTAGGAAGTGGAGTGGCAGGCTATAAATGTTTTATGGCACTTAGTTTGAGATACCCACAACTGGTACTCAGAGTGAGTTACGTAGGCAATACCAAAGAAGTGGCAATAAGCCTTTATAGTCCCTCACACCATAATGTAGTTTATTTATGTCACATAAATCAGAGAAAAGATATTAAGGGAAATTTTGGGTATTTAAAAAATAGTATTACTCTGTCATCATGTGCAATGTTCTTTTGCCCACTATTTCTATCTCAATTCTAAAATTGGGGGACAAGTTTTGAAAATCGATGACATCAAAGGCAGTTTGGTTGCAAGATGAATTGAAATCTTACACTTAAGAAGGAGTCTTTCTTCATCCCCACTTCCATCTTCACTTCCTTCTGAGTTTATTATCCAGGAGTTAGTAATGCCTCAGAATATATCCATGCACCGTCTCCTCACATTTCCCGGCTTTCCTCCCATGCCATTAGAAAATCACCAAATGTTTCAACTGGTAGGAAGCTTGGAGTTAGACTGAGTAGTTCATCACCCTTATTTTGTTGAGGAAACAGAGGCCTAGCATTCAGCAACTTGTTTAAGGTGATGGAGGCAATCATTTGGAGGAGGGAACAGTGGAACCTCATCTCCACTGAGGCAGCCTTGTTTGTTTGTTTGGAAAGGCAGAATTTGGGCTTGCCTGACTGGAAATGTAGTCAATAAGTTCATATATTCCAGTGTTACAAAGAGACCACCTATTAATTGGAAAGATCCAAGAAGGTCAAGTTTGTGGGTTGTTTTTTTTTAATTTTTATTTACTTATGAGAAAGAGAGAGAGCACGCACGTGCACGGGGGGGGGGGGGGGGGAGGGGTGTTGGGCAGAAGGAGAAGCAGACTTCCTGCCGAGTAGGGAGCGTGATGCAGGGCTTGATCCCAGGACCCAGGGATCGTGACCTGAGCTGAGGGCAGACGCTTAACCGACTGAGCCACCCAGGTGCCCCCAAGTTTGTGGTTTTACCGAGAATATCAGGAGTATGTTTGTGGGAAGTGGGTTGATGAGGGGAGGGGGCTTAGTTAGTTTTCCATTTTTCCTTTCTCTTCTGGCATTGAGGAGAACTTATAAGCCCCGTCTTTGCAGGGCAGCCCTGATTTCAGTCCCTGAAGTCAGCATCAGAAATTAAAACATCAGAAATGTAATTAAGTCCCACTATCATTTTTCTCTGTCTCAGGGGCTTGACCCTATCACAGTCATCTTTTACTGCTCCCCATTGCCTGTCATATCCCCCAGGGAGATAGCTCTGGAGTCAGAAGAGCCTACTTTTTGGAAGCCACAGCCTTACTCAGAGGTGTCACTGAAAGACAGTGATGAGGCACATTCCTCCCAGTGAACAGAACTTCAAGAAGCATACTCGATCATCAATTTTGTATGTATAGGAAGTGGCCTGAGCTATGGATATGGATGGACTCAGCCTCTAGTGAATGGCTTAGCTGATCAAGGGTCTGGAAGAATGAAGGTTGAATGATTGGAGACCAAGAGACTGAGGATGAAGAAAGATAGTTGTGCGGCCTGATGATGAAATCTTTCATTGAGTGTATCTTTTATCTCCTTGAGTAGATTACAGGAAATTTAAACCTCATTCTGTAGATGATAGTATTCTCATCAGAATAACCAATAAATAGGGGCACCTGCCTGGCTGAGTCAGTAGAGTACGTGACTCTTGATTTCAGGGTTGTGAGTTTGAGCCCCACGTTGGGTGTAGAGATTACTTAAAAATAAAATCTTAGAGGTGCCTGGTGGCTCAGTTGGTTAAGTGCCTACCTTTGGCTCAGGTCATGATCTCAGGGTCCTAGGATTGAGACCCGTGTCATCAGGCTCCCTGATCAGTGGGGAGTCTGCTTCTCTCTCTCCCTCTGCCTCTCCCCCTGCTCGTTCTCTCTCTCTCTTTCTCTCTCAAATAAATAAATAAATAAATAAAATCTTTAAAAAAATTTTTTTAAATCTTAAAAAAAGAATAACCAATAAATATCGAATATATATGTCCTAAGTTCTGTGCTTTGGGCTTTAAATGGATTGTTTCATTTAATCCTCAAAATAGCCTTCACATGCGGGTATTGGTTTTTATTATTTCCTTTTTTTTTTTTTTTAAGATTTTATTTATTTATTTGACAGAGAGAGTTAGCAAGAGCAGGAACACAAGCGGGGGAGTGGGAGAGGGAGAAGCAGGCTTCCCTCCGAGCAGGAAGCCCAATGCGGGGCTCGATCCCGGGACCCTGGGATCACGACCTGAGCTGAAGGCAGACGCTTAACGACTGAGCCACCCAGGCGCCCCTATTATTTCCATTTTATAGGAAATTGAGCTCTAATGAAGTTAAGTAAGTCCCCAAACCATGCAAACTCCTACAAATTGATGATGGTGCAAGTGAAGGCCAGCTATGTTTGGCTCCAAAACTCAATAAGCTTGGTTCAAGAGCTCCTGCCAGGTTTCTCCACTGAAGAGTTAACTGTATTTTCCTTTATAATTAATGCATATTTTGTGGATACTTTAAGACTATGTAAATTCCTGAGGCATCATTCTTTCACCACTGGTTTTAGCATCTGTATTAGTTTCCTGTGGCTGCAAATTATCACAAGCTAAGTGGTTTAAAATAACAGAAATTTATTGCCTCACAATTCCGAAATCTGAAACCAAGATGTCTGCAGGGCTGTGTGCTCCCTGGGAAGGTTCTAGGGGAGAATCCTTCCATTCCCCTTCCAGCTTCTGGTGGCATTCCGTGGTGTGTGGCCACAACCCTCCCATCTCTGCCTCAGTCTTTATAAGGCCTTCTCCTCTGTACATCTGTCTTCTTTTATGTTTTTGGTTTTTTTCTTTTCTTTTTTTAGTAATCTCTACATCCAATGTGGGGCTCGAAGTCATGACCCGGAGATCAAGAGTCTCATGCTCTTCTGACTGAGCCATGCACCACTTCTCTTATGTCTTTTACAAAAGCACTTGTCGTTGGCTTGGGGGCATCCAGGATGATCTCATTTCAAGATCCTTAATTTAATTACATCTGTAAAGACCCTTTTACCAAATAAGGTCACATTCACATGTTCTGAGGATTAGGACATGGACACATCTTTTGGGGGGTCAACAATCAACTCACTGTGGCATCCACTAATGATTCTTGTGTGAAACAACTATTATAATGGTTACCAAATAGTAATTTTTCTAACTCCATCATTCATTCCCTAATCATTAATTTCCATTCTTCTACAGAAAGGAATTTTCCATCTATCATCTGTCTATCTATCTATCTATCTATCTATCTATCTATCTATCTATCTATCTATCTATCTATCTCAGTACAGACTCATGAATTCTTATTTTAATCAATGGATTTGTGTAGTAAAGGATTAACTAAGCAGGTCCATGTTGTCCAAACACTGTATATTGCAAAGAAAGATTTAGCCCTTGCTAGGCTCCATAGTGATAACTTCTAAGCACTTGAAATATCCTTTTCACCCACTTCAGATCCTTAAGAGTATCTTTGTTTAGGGATACCTGGGTGGCTCAGTTGGTTAAGTGTTTGCCTTTGGCTCAGGTCATGATCCCAGGGTCCTGGGATCTAGTCCTGCATTGGGCTCCTTGCTCAGGGGGGAGCCTGCTTCTCCCTCTGCCTGCTGCTTCCCCTGCTTGTGCTTTCTCTTTCTCTCTCTACATATAAATAAAATCTTAAAAAAAAAAAAAGAGCATCTTCATTTACCTGAGGCCTTGGGCCATATAAGATATGCTAATGATGTGACTTCTGGTGGGGTCTTTGGACTACACAGTATCAGCTTGACCTCTGGAGGGACTGGAAAATTAAGGATGGCCACCAGGGCAGTCAGCTATGCTTATGTGACCTACTCTCAATAAAAACTCTGCACACCAAGGCTCAGATGAGCTTCGCTGGTTGGCTATAATTCACTGATTAATGCCCACAGGACTCTACTGGGCAGGACACTGCAAGCTTGCACCTGGTCTCCCTTATAATCTGCACTATGTGCCTTTTGCCATTGCTGATTTTAATCTGTATCCTTTCACTATAATAGACTCTAACCATCAGTATAACAACTTCTCTGACTTTTGCGTTCTTGTAATAAATCACTGGACATGAGGGTGTTCTTGGGGAAGTCATAATCTGTTATCATATTTATTTATTTAAAACACAGGATTTTAATCGTGGATCACTACATCAAAAACTGATGATATATTGTATGTGACTAACATAACATAATAAAATTTAAGAAAGAAAAAACAGGATTTGGGGTGCCTGGATGGATCAGTTATTAAGCGTCTGCCTTTGGCTCAGGTCATGATCCCAGGGTCTTGGGATCAAGCCCCACATCGGGCTCCCTGCTCTGCAGGAGGCCTGCTTCTCCCTCTCCCACTCCCCCTGCTTGTGTTCTCTCTCTCTGTCAAATAAATAAAATCTTAAAAAATAAAAACAAAACACAGGATTTATAATCTCTTACCATACTTCTTTATTTTGCATGTGAGGGTGGTCTTGGGGGTCCTGGAACAGAGGATTAGAATCTGATACCATATTTATTTTTATGTTCATTAATCCCATATTTGGCCCAATACCCAAACATTTAATTACTTTAGTATACTTCCTCACATTAAGGACCCATGGGGACCCTTTAAGCTGATTTCAAAACCATGGAAAACACTCCCTTGCCCTTCCTAATGTCCCACTCTGGTCTACATCTTCAGGCTAGATGGAACATTGGTGTACCAACACAAGAAGCACAGTCCCTTCATAGATTTACATGTGTACACACACCACCACCACTACTACCAACAACAACAAGAAAAGAAAAAACATGTCACTACTTAGGACAGTCCCACTAGCCTCCTGTTGTCCTAGTTATTTGCAAATACAACTTGAGGCACAAACTTTCCAGGGGTTTTGCTGCTGAAGGACTGAATTTCAACCAACAGTGGTAGAGCATGTGT